ATTGTTCTCTCTCTTGTTCACCTTGTTTGATCAATAAAGAGCCCTCGGTCACCGTTTCCATTTCTTAGAGTGGAGTAAGTCACGTAGGCCGAACCGCTATATATTTATGTGTTGACTCAATATTTATATTACTATCATTGATTGTTTTATTAATTATCTATTAATTACACTCTGTCACACACTCGACTGTTAATTTTGTACGAGACTGTTTTGTGCATCATCACGTCATTCTTACAAATTGATGATCACGAAAAGGTTTCAAAAAATGATTCAAAGCACATAAGGGAAAGGATGAAATTTGAGGATATTCTACAATTCTCAGTGAGAGAAAATTTGATCGTTCTCATTTTTATCACTGAGAGAGAAAATTTGAAGGTAGACCCTCTCAACTTCAACATGTTCAACATTAAGGTGACACAATATCTTCATATTTTATTCTTCTTCTTCTCCCTCGTTTAATGTCATCAACATCGAAACACACTTAACAATTATAATCATCACAAAAAATGACGTTAATTATAATGTAGTAGTGTATTACAAATAGCCGTTTTGGTTATGTTACTGAGTCGGGCATGATAATTTTGTAGTGCATACGGGAATGTTGGGTTCTCAACCGGGTATCGGTGCAATCGACAACTTAAACCGGATGGCTACTGCAAAGATGCAGCCTATGGATTTGCCGGAAGATGGAGTAACAAGGGGAAGATGATCCTCATTCTTGTCATGTTGTTTGGAAGGCTTAAAGGATTCCATATGGGAGGTGGTAAAGCTTGGAAGCTATGATAAAATTAGTACCCATCTCTGTATACATACAATGTAAATAAATATGTTTGTGGCTGCTGGGAAAGTTATTTGGTTGATTCACATGTTAGAGTGATCTATCCAACCAGTTACTTTACAGTCCATATATGTCTCGATAACACTGTATATTAGCTTCTTCAGTATGCAAAATAATGATTGTGAAAAACCTCGACTACTCTATACTTTATTCATGCGGTGTATATAATATAGTAATACAACAATGTTACAGTGTCGTAATACATAGAATTAAAGAATAAATCAAATCTTAGAACCAAAAGTTTGTAATTACCATAGTCATAACAAATTCGTACAACTTAAAGACTCAAATTTTCACTCTAACACTCCCATGGAAATTGAGTGAGACGACAAAACAATTATAAGCAACTACTTTTATGGGCCCAAATTTGTAATTTGTAACAAAACTAGAAAAAGTCAGGACGTTTGATTAACGTTTTTGTTTTGTATTTTGTGCTTTTTCAGATTTACCAAAAAAATAAATAAAAATATGTTTGGTTTTTGTTTCTGTTTTATGTTTTATTTATCTAAGTTGTCTCGAAAACAAGACAGGAAAATGGGAAAAAAAAAATGTGTTTCAGGAAACACACGAGGAGTAGGTTAATGAGGTCTCCACTTCGAAGCTTGGACGAATAAGAGGCTTCCCATTCGATCTCCTGACGAAGAACCAGATCTCTTCCATTGATTTTCTCGCTGTGAAGGTAAGAGAAGTGTATCCATTATGTTAGAATAGATCTATATATATAGGATTATACCAGGACAGATCTGTGTGTAACTTTGTGTGTGAATTTTTGTTTTTTGTGCAGATCCATGTTATGGTACTGTTGGCACTTGACTTTCAAACCCTAACCCTAGGTATTATTGGCGAGATTCAAACCCTCTCACGAGATTCTCTCTCTCTCTCCCTCATTATGTGTGTTTCTTTATGTACTTACTGTTGTGTTGATCTGATATTACATATAATCAGTTTACAGTTTTTGGTTAAATTCCATCGAGGGATTTACCATTTGTTTCGTCCCAATTGTTTTCTTCTATTATTTCGTTTTGCACTATCATATATTTTAGCTATTATTATTACTGCTTATACGTACCAGTTTTAAATTTTATGTGATTATATATTCCTTATTTCTAATTTTTTGGGTAATTTAAAAGTTCAAATAAATTAAAATTGCGGAACATAAACTTTGAGCCACTGAAGCACAACAAACGAGCTTTACATATTAAGTGAGATTTTGGAAATTGGTTTCTGTAACCTAACAAAGGGAGTCTCTCACTCTCTACAAAGGAGACGCTTTCAATGATACTGCTCTTAAACAACACTTTTTTGGACAAATCAAAACATTGCCTCTGGAAATTGGGGTTGTTATATTTGCATGAGTTTGATGGGTCAAGCCCAAATGCCCAACTTGTGTTATAAGCCCGCCGAGTTTATAGCCCGATTCCAAGAGATCCAACAAATTCAACCCAATGTAATCAATCCAGCTCATCAGGTTTAAGGAGCTACTAAATCAGCAAGGAGCAGACAAGCTCATCCAAGAGTCTCCTCCTCTATTACCTTGGAGTAAGGGTCATCTAAGAGCTTCCTCTAGGCCACCAAAGGAGCATCTAGAAGCCTCACCCTCACCACCAACAAAGCATCCACGAGCCTCACCCTCGCAGCCTGGAGAGAGTCAACCTCCCTCATCCTTGAACAAGTCCTTTGGAGAGCACACCAACCGTCATACCTAAGCCGTTGAGAAGATGATAGGTTGCATCCGCTAAATCAGCTACTTAATTACTATCAAACGGTCCTAAGTCATTATGACCGTTAGACTAGTCATATAATTACTATGTCAAACCACTATATATTGTAAGCTCCCCCAACACTTGGGGGGCATCAGACTCATTTGATCATAATTTTTTCCTCCCCTCTCAAAGCTTGTAATCATGTGCTCTCCCTCCACACCGGAGATAATAAAATTCTGGCGAACCTAGCCATTCAAAGTGGACGTAGGTCGTATTGACTGAACCACTATAAATCTTGTCTTCTCTCCCCTTCTACTTACTGCATTTTATACTATAACTTAACTAGTGGTGTACAAACTAATTTGTGCATCATCAAAGTTGATTACGTGGGCCGCTGAAAGTTAGACCTCTTTCCTATCAGGTGTACTACAAGTGGTTGAGCCACAATTTTTTGGTGTCATCAAATGCTGCAAAGAGGTAAGGATCTTATGAAGGATGGGTTTGCAAACTGTAATGGGTTTTAGTTTGCAATTGCCAAAATTACATGTTCATTTTTCGTCTGTAGATTGCTTTAAGTGTTTGTTGAAAAACATGGAAGTGGGATAGAAATAGTATATACGTTGTCTGGTTGGTTGAAGAATAATCCTAAGTGACTCACGAAATTATTCTAACACACGAAAATTTTAACATACATCATCATTCTCATGGTTGGCTTGATACCCAAAATGCAAAAGTTGGGACTCTATAGAGACCTTTGTGTATAGTGGTGCATATGTGTACGACTATACGTATGATTTAGCATCAAAGGAAAGGACATTTAACTGAAAATACTTTTATTTTTTACGGTAGTTTGGGACATGGTAAATATTAATTAAAATTAAAAAAGAGAATAATGCTTGTAAGCAAAACATTGAAGGCATAATGGTAGAATACATAAACAATATTCTTCTTTTTTTCCTTCTTCCAAAAATCTTTACTCCTATTTTTTCATCCATCCTACCAAACATAAACAAAGAAAATTATATTTCTTTCTTTCTGATTGAGATCCTCTCTAATATTGTCTCTTTAAATTTTTTTTAGCGAATCATCTACCATATATTTAAGTGGAATCCATTCTATACAAGTGAGACGCTCACTTATTAATGGTTGATGATCCATAAACAAATTATAAAAAAAAAAGTGTATTGGAGGAATCTAAGTCTTTTTTTCACTTTTTTTTTTGGTTCAACAGTCAAAGATGTTCGGATTAGCTTATTCATACTTTGACTAATCTCTTTTTTAGTTCGATTAAAGAAAAACTATCTATGTTAAGACTACGGTATTCATAAAAAATAAATCCAGGAGCTAAGCTTTGTTGTCAGAATTGGATCAGACCGGTCAGTCACCTGTGAACTAGGTCTATACCGGCCCGGTTAAGCTATTACAGGGAACCATCAAAAACAGTGAACAGGCCGGTTTTATCAAAAAACCAGTGAATCGGACGGGTTAAGGAATCAGGCGGACGAATAGAACTTATATAAACTCCTAAAATCCTAAATTCGGCACATTTGGGTCAAATTTACCCTAAAATCCCAAATTTCATCATTGTTCTCACTCTTTCTCTAACGATAACTGTTTCTCCAACCTCTCATGCGATGACACTTGACTGGAGTTCAATGACTTCAGTCAATCTCTCTCCGGTCTCCCCTAACCGGTAAGTACTTTTTCATCCGTTTAATTTTTTTTACGGAACGAGTTGTCAAATTGTGAACCCGATTCTTTCTGGATCCGACTGGACTTCAAAGTTCAAATTTTTGAATTGTCGGTGGTGCTTAAACCAAACCCGTTTATTTTGGCATCCAACAAATTATCAAACCCGACACCCACACAATACAAAAGCCCTCTCCAAACTTACATTCACTACCATCTCAAATTTCTCCTCTCTCAGGTTCGTAAATTACCCCAATCTCTCTCTCTCTTTCTCTCCATATATATGTGTGTATTGTGTCCCCTTTATGCATGTATATTGGTATGTGGATTTAGATGGTTAGGGTTTGAATATATTTTTTATTTTAAACACAAGTATGAATAGATTCAAATCCTGGGTTTCACTCTCTCTCTCTCTCTTCTGCTCTGTTTATTATATACTTCTGTATGTATTTGTGGGCGCGTTTGATTTTCTTTGGTATCGTTTGGTAATCGTTGTGTGTTTTTTGTCTTTATTTGCACTTTTTGTAAAAATAAACAATAATAATAATAAAATGTACGGAGGGTGTTTTTTTTTTTTTGCCGGTCTATTTTGTAAGCAACTCTAAATTTTGATGTTTTTAAAAACATGGGAAAACAGAATCACGCCCTTGGAACCATTTAATGAGGTAGAGCCTTCAAACCCCATTAGTAGCAAAAAAAGGGTTTTTTTTTTTTTCCAACTATAAAATCAATGTTTACCCTTTTTGCCTCTTCTCTCTCTCGTTCATCTCTCTCACGAAGCCAGCGACAAAAGATCAACTAACTAGCTCTCAGATGAAATCAAATTTTTAAGGTTAGATTTCAAGGTCAAATTTCACTCTTTCTCTTTGTAACTCCTCTCTATGGAATCAAATTTTAAGTTGGGGTTTGTTGTATACATAGTATATACGTATATCTGTATATATATATGTATATTTTGCCCTAGATCTGTGAATATATTGTTATATTTAGTTAGATTTGGGTGTGGATGTGTGTGTGTTTTTGCCTGTGTGTGTGTATGTAACAGATAACTGTGTGTGTGTGTGTGTGTGTGTATATATAATCTGTATATATGGCTTAGATTTGCATATCTTCATACATATATTCATAGATATATTAATCAAAATTTTCATGTTATTTGATAAATCTGCATATATGTATATTCGGCATATATGACAGTGTGAGAGGATTGAGGGATTTGGGATTTAGAATTAAATATTAACCAAAATAATACTAATAAAATACTACCTAAAATATATAATACCAACATGTTTTTTATTTTTGTTTGTATACTTTTAATTTTTATCACAAAAAAAAAAAAACAAAAACTAGTTTTGTATTTTTTTTTTATAAAAAAAAACATAAAAACAAAAACATTTTCAAACACATCCTGAAACTTTGTTTTCGAATATGAATAATCTAATCCGTACAATTTCATTGTTTTCCCCAATTTTCACCAAATCTTGATGTATTGCTATTAATTTATGGTGAATAACGAGAACCTATAGTTGTTTCGAAGGTCTATTTTTCTCCTTCTCGAAATTAGCCGAATAGTTGGACTTCATGATTTTTTTTTATCTGGCTGGGCTTTTTCTAATCACATGGGGAACCTATCTGAATCTTTTTTTTTTTTTTCCACTTATCCAAATCTTATATGATTTATTGGTGTTTTTATGACTATGTGTGACATACACTTTTTTTTTATTTCTTTTGTTGATCAGGTCAGAAATTTGGAACTTCTATACAAATTGTCGGGTTGAATAGCATCAGTTGAATAGATTCAAGACTAGAGAGTGTCTCTCTCTCTCTCTCTAGTTTTGTCTGAAGTGTGGTTTTCTTGTCATGGGAATGGACTTGGAATGGTCTGAATCAAGGCGTGAAAGAAGTGTCGAAATGAGGGATCAAGATGACTCTCCCAGGAGGGAAAAATGGGAAGGAGGGTATGATGATTTGGAAAGTAAGGGTAATGAGAAATCAAGAGATTCAAGCAAGCATCTGAGTAAAGATAGGAGTAAGAGCAGTGGTCAAAGAGAAGAAAAGGAACATCATAGAAGCAGAGACCGAGAACAGTCAAAGGCTAGGGATGTTTTAATTGAGAGAGAGAAAGAAGGGAAAGTTTCAGATAAAGATCGAGTGTCAAGTAGGGATAAAAGGAAGGAGGACAGGGATGAGCTCAAAAAGGACCGGACAAGAGAGAAGGGAAGAGAGAAAGATAATGATCGGGGCAAGTACAAAGATAAAGAGCGTGAAAGAGAGAAAGATCATAAAGATCGCTCGAAGGAAAAAGAGCGTGATAGGGACAGAGAGATGGAGAAGAATAGTGAGAGAGGACGAGACAAGGAAAAAGAGAAGAGCAGAGATAGGGATAGAGAAAGGGAAAAGGAAAGAGACAGAGCAAAAGACAGGGAAAGGGAAAAGGAGAAAGAGAAGTATAAAAATAGGGAGAAGGAAAGGGAAAATGATAGGGATAGAGACAGAGGTGGGGTTGAGCGAGAGAAGGGAAAAGAGAGGATTAGAGAGAAGGAGAGGGAGACTGATGAAGACAAGGATAGGTCTAGGGAAAGAGATAGAGGGAGTCGGAAGCAACAAAATGAGTTTAATGACAGGATCAAGGATGTGGGGAAGGATGATAAGCAAAAATTAGGTGATGAAGATGGTCAGGATATGGATATATCCCAGCAGGGGACGGGTTCTCATCACGATGAGAATGATATGAAGGCCATAAGGCATGGACTTACTGCCCGGGATGAACCTGATGGGTCAGAACCCACAGCATCAGAGCTCAAAGACCGCATTTTGAAGTAAGTATATCTGTTTATTATTGGTTCCCTCATACACTTTTTTGGGTTTATCTAGTCTTTTTTCCCATGTATTCTGGAAACTTTCTGGGTCTTTACTACTTTGCATGGTCTTTATTAGTTTCATGGTATGAATTTACTTCAGAACACATTGTATTGTCTTTCATGTGAAACATGTGTAAAGCTCATTGGTCTATCACAATTACATAATAAGTACTTGTAGTGATGATCAAAACATTCATTTTCATGTAAACAATATACGCAGACAATGTTGAAATGTCTTTTCATAGTGGTAGTCTTAATTGTTGAATATATGAAAGGAAGAATGTACTGCTATATTTCGCCTATATCAGGTTTGAAATGATAGGTTGTCCTATATATCTCCAAACCTAGAATTACAATGGATAAGTGAAATTGCTTTCATCTATATTTTTAGACTTTCACTTGTTTGATATGTGGTCGCCATGATTGTCATTGGCTTTTAGCTTGTCCTTTTTTCGTACACTTGCTTCCAAGGTGTTTTCGCAAGGTGCTTCCTTTTGTTTTATTGGACCATACTTCATAAATTTATGGAGTGGTACATAGCAGTGCTTTTGTTGATTCTCTTTTTACGACCCTCAAATCCACAAATATGTGAATTAATTAATTGTATTCCCACCTAGCATCCAAATTTTTAGTTTGTTTACTAACTTAGGATCATAATTGTCAAATCGCGATTCATATCGTGAATCGAAATCCTAAATTTGAGAATTGTAAATCATAAGATTCGACACAAAATTTGAAAAAAATAAAAAATAATATTTACATATTTAAAATAGGCAAAATATTGAGTATCGAACATTATTGCATTTTAAAAATAATCAATCGACATAATCACGTCATCTATATAGAAAGACGCTAGTATTTTGTTTCATTTTCATCTTTTATTTAACCATTTTTAAATTAGATAACTCAGAAAAAAAATTTCATTAAAGAATCATAGCTATTTAAGAACCAAAACGGTGACACTCAGTACAGATTAGGGTACAAACATGAATTAAAAAAGAACAACTAAAAAAATTGATTGCGAGAAAATATATAGGCCAACATTTTTGAAATAAAAAATTAGAACCTAACAAACTATCTATGAAAGATTTGAGCAAAAATCAAAGTTTATTCTAAAATATGGTGACAAGAGACAGAAAAATCCAATGTAAAAAAAATATGTTAGGGCTCTCTTACTTTTAAGAAGAAGAAGATGACGAATAAGAGGAGCAGAAGACATACTTTTAGCTGATGATGTGTGACTTTCAGCTTCAGACAATGCAAGGCGAACTTTAAACAATGCGCAAGAGAGCCAGAACAAGCAAAGAGATTGAGTTTTTATTAGGGCATGAGTTCTTCTATAAACAAAATGACGTTGTTTTGTCAAAAATTTGAGTTTTAGAAAAAGTGACTGAATCGTGCGATATGAATCGAATCGTAAAATTCAGATGTGATTCAGCCCTAAAAATGATGCTCATATAAGATATGAATCGTTTTGTGCCTGTATTGAACCGAATCGTATGAATCAAATCGCGAATGATTTGATTTTGATAACTATGCCTAGGATATATAGATAGGTTGAGTTAGCACTATGGTGTATTGGCAATGGAGAAAAGTGTTGATTAGCTTCTATAGATTGTCTCCCGAAAGCGTCACCCCCCTCAACCAACCACCCCCCCCCCCCCCAAAAAAAAAATATCCAATCAAAACTTTGCTCAGATATGCTCCTCCTAGATTCCTTTTTTCGAATCATGAACTTGGCTACGCACTTTAGCTTTTCTTTATAGTTGGACCCCGTAGCACCTTCTGGGGACCAGTTTAGTACTTGTTGTGCTGTCTAAGATGATTTGCCCATGATCAAAAGTAGCACCTTCTCAGGGCCATTGAAGTGCTTATTGTGCCATCTATGATGATTTTCCCGCGATTGAAAGTAGTATTTTTGTAGGAACAGCAACTGTTTTAACAAAAACTGAAAAACAGTTACAGAATAAAACAGAAAAATCTGTTACAAAATTCTGTCACCAAAATACTTTCATAACAGAAATTCTGTACCAGAATTCTGTTAAAAAAAACGACAAAACAGTTGAATTCCCTCCTATACAGCTACTGAAATTACTGAACCGGTTGCAGAAACAGTCTGCCATCGAGTGCATCCATACCGCAGTATCTCCTCAGCTTCTGGCCTTAGAAACCCAAGCCACCATCCTTCCCAACCTTGCAGAAGGCCTTCAATACTAGTCCTGAAATAAGAATAATACCTTGCTCCAGAAACCAGCAAAACAGCTTGACTCCAGAACTCAACAGACCAGCAGACACCAGCTTTTCAATACCCCCTGCAGTGTGAACAAAGCATCATAACATCCAGTTTATAAACATTCCCAATTTCCGTCAACCTTTGTCATCAAAAATTAACACTCTCCTCTTTCTGACCACAGGCAAACCTCTTTGATCCTGCAACAAAGCTAACTTCAAAGCAGAAGGCAATGACACAGTCCCAGAAATTCAGATGACTGACCATCCTTTACTGCTTTATTGGCCAAGAGATCAGCTACAACATTAGCTTCTCTATATACGTGCTTTACCTGAAAATCCATCCTGCTAAGCTAATCCCTTATCTGATCCAAAACAGACCACAGAGACCAAGCACAACTGAACACACCTTGAACAGATTTCACCAGAACCAAGGAGTCTGATTCAATCAGAATTCTATTCATACCCAATCGATATTCTTCTATCAACCTCAACCTCAAACCATCAAGACAAGCCCTAAATTCTGCTTCCATATTGGTACATGTACCATAGAAACAAGAAGCAGCCATCACCATTCTCCCCCTTTCATTCCTCACTATAATTCCTCCACCAGCAGGCCCTGGATTACCCTTAGCTTCCCCACCCACATTGAGCTGCAAGAAGCCAGCATCAGGGCACTCCCTGCATACCCACAAAGCTTTGGTAACAACCTTACAAGACCAATCAACTCCTAACTGCTGTAACCACAACCTGCTAACACCATTTTCCTGCACTTTAGGCTTGACATTCCTTGCTTGGTATCTCAAAACACTACAAATTTTAAGGAAAATACCATGTGAATTCAGCATGCCTTCCCCTGACCTCCTTCTACACCTCTCCTTCCAAATCTGCCAAAAAATAAGCAAGGAGATACTCCTTACCAGTGCATGACCAACAGACTTCTTACTAAATATTCTGCAAAGTCTTCTGAACCTCACCATTGGTTGCTTATTAACAAGTAGCTGAAACCCACAAACACCAGCCATCCTTTTCCAAATAGTATCAGCATACTCACAAGAAACAAACACATGCTCCAAACTTTCCTCCCCTTTAAAGCACATGCAGCACCTGCTAACGATAGGAATACCCAATCTTTGAATTCTTAAATCCAAAGGCAAGGCATCCATCAAAATCTTCCAACCCACCAACTGCGCACTAGGGGCAGTGGACAACCCCCAAATATCAGAAGCAGACTCCTGCACCCCAGCTTGCTGTCTTACCAAATGCCATGCTGATTTGGTAGAAAAAAACCCAGAGGTTGTTTCTTTCCAAATCAATTTATCCACCTCCTCTGTTAACCTTATACCAGCATTCAAATCCTCTTCTCTAAGTTGATCAGAGAGAAAGCCTCCACTTCTCCTAGCTGCCACTGAGAATTAAAGAACAAATCAGCCACACTAGGGAATGACAAAGGCATTACCTCCATTCTGCTCAACAGTGGACCACCCTCCAACCAATTATCACACCAGAAATCTGTGTTCTCACCATTCCCAATCATTCTTTTAGAATGCAACACTACTTGTTCAAAAAAAGTACTTAAAACATCAAAACATGCAGAATGACTCTTCCCTTTACACCTCATAATATGCCTACCCCTTAGAAAGTTAGCAGAACAGACCTGAGCCCATAAAGAACCTCCTTTCATCACATTCCAAACTTGTTTCATTTCTGAGAGCCTTCTGCACATCCTCAAACCTCCTCAATCCCAGACCACCTTCCTGTTTAGGCAAAGCAACTCTTTTCCAAGAAACCCAATGTCTCCTTTTCTCATCTTTTTTACTGGACCAAATGAAACCAGCCACAAAAGAATTCAATTTCTTAATAATACCTTTGGGCAGATTCAAACATGCCAATAAATGAACAGGTAAAGCACTTAAGGCAGACTGAGCTAAAACCACTCTGCCCATATTAGATAAAAGCCTTGCATACCATCCCTCCATCTTTTGCTTAAATTTCACCAACAAGCTTTCAAAATATCTCAATCTAACTCTTCCAGTGATAATAGGGCAACCCAGATACACAAAAGGACATTCTTTAAAAGCAATACCTGCAATCCCAGAAAGAGCATGTCTCCTATCAACTGTAATATGTTTAGAACCAAACATAGAACATTTTTCTAGACTCACCTTGTGCCTAGAATTCAACTCATAAATTCTAAGAAAACTCATCAAATTTTCAAGAGATCTCTTATACCCCCTCAAAAAAATTAATGTGTCATCTGCAAAAAGCAGGTCACTAATCAACATAGAACCCCTGCCCAAATGATAACTCTTCACAGCTCTCTCGATATAACTTCTTCAAACCTCTGCTCAACACTTCCTCTGCCAAAATAAAGAGACTAGGAGACATAGGATCTCCTTGCCTCAAACCCCTAGAAGCAGGAAAATATCCTTTCCTCTCCACATTAACACATACAGAAAAATGCTGCTGAGCCAGACAATTAGAAATAATCTTCACAAACAAATCAGAAAAACCAAATCCAGATAGTACCTTACACAAAAAAACCCACTCTAGCCTATCATAGGCTTTCATCATGTCCAATTTGAGAACCAGATTGCCAGCCTCCACTTTCCTATCTAAGTCCCTTAAAAGCAGCTCAGCTAAAGACACACACTCACCAATACTCCTTCCACTTACAAATCCATGCTACTCCAAAGACACTAATGAGGATAAAACAGTAGCAAGCCTCAAAGCCAAAAGCTTAGTAATTATCTTGTATAAGAATGTACATAAACTTATTGGCCTGAAATCAGAAAATGTCAGAGGATTTAATTTTTTAGGAATAAGAGCCAGAAGAGTAGAATTGACAGATCTAGGCACTTCACCCCCTCTAAGAAAAAAATTCACAGCATTCACCATATCTTCCTTTATGATATCCCATGCCACTTGGAAAAATTTTCCTGACATTCCATCTGCACCAGGAGAACTTTGAGCAGACATGGAAAAAACAACCCCTTTTACTTCCTCCATAGAAGCCTCTATAGTAAGCATCTCATTCACTTTAGAACTTACTAAAGAAGGGATCACAGATGGTAAATCCTCCCTAACATCATGCTGTTCAGACTGATAAAGACCTGCAAAGAAATCTACTGCAGCCTCCCCAATTTATTTCTCAGACTGAACCCACACCCCTTCAGCATTTTGAATTCTATGAATCTTATTTCTTGTAGCTTTTCCTTTGGCCCAAACATGATAGAACTTTGTGTTTTTCTCCCCATCCACAGCCCATTTAATATTAGCTTTCTGCTTCCAATTAATCTCTTCCAAACTCAAAACCCCATCTAATTCTTTCTGCACTTCCTCCAGAGCAAGAACATTATCAACATAATCATTCTGCTCAACCAACATCTATGCTCTCTGCAATGCTTTTTCCTTCATTCTTATCCTCTCAAAAATATTACCAAAGACCTCCTTATTCCATTTTTTCAGATGAAACTTCAAAAACTTTAACTTTAAGAAAACATTTTCAATGAGATTATTTGAATATTGCCCTACCCAATGAGAAGCAACCAAAGGCAAAAAACCAACATCTTCCACCCACATATCTTGGAATTTGAAATAAGAAATTCTTTGCTTAGAAGAACAAAACAAACTAATAAGCAAGGACTGTGGTCAGATCTACCCCTTCCCAAATGTTTCACCTCAGTTTTATCAAAAGACACACTCCAATTTGTATTAAACAACACCCTAGCAATCCTCTACCACATTCTAGCTCTGCCCTGCTGATTGTTACACCAAGTAAATCTGCTACCAACAAAACCAGCATCAATCAGACCAGCATCCTGAACAAAACCTCCAAACTCCTCCATGGAGACATAAGATGGAAGAGCTCCTCATCTCTCGTCGGAGTTCATCACAGCATTGAAATCCTCAACCACCATCCAAGGCACAGAAGGTAGTATAGAAATTTCCAACAAATACTGCCATAAAAGCCTTCTTACCACATGTTCACAACTAGCATATACTATAGAAACACATACACCCTCTGAACCCTGGTAAGAAATATCAACAGTAATTACCTGCTCATGCTACTCAATTACCGTCACAGACACCCTATCATTCCACAATAACCAAATATGCCTTTCAGCCAATTCATTATACAGAAAATGAGACAGTCCAATTCCAGAAGCAAAGCCAGGCAATTTAGCTCTGCCTAGTTTAGGTTCCAAAACAGCTACTAAACAAACATCATTTAATCTTACTAATTTCTTTAACCTCCTCCTTTGAAGGCCTTTACTATCCCCTCTCATATTCCAAGCTAAAAAACTAATCATAGAAAATTTGAAGAAAGATTACCTCCAGATCTAAGTCTGGCAGAAGCCTCCATAGAAGAAAGCACCCAAGGAACAGCATTAGAATCATCTGACCAAAATTCCTTGTTATTTCTCCTTCTTGCTCTTGCATTACTCTGGACACAGTCCATATCAGAATGGTGTCCTTTATCTGGAGGATCAGTTCTCCTTAACAAACCAGTCTCATCATCTAAAGAGAATCCAACCCACTCTGTTAACAAAATTATGGTCAATAAAAAAGGATCCATTCCCAGAAGGAGAGTCTTGCCTATTAACAAAACCACATTCTCCATCCCTCTCTAAATTTATAACATCCTCACCAATCACCTCCACACCTCTACTAACCAATTGGACTTCATCAATCTTCTCAGGAATGTCCTCCACAATTTCTAATTCAGATTCCACCTGAGCATTTTCAACCCCAACTCCTTTTTCCTGTACACTTGTTCCTCCACCATTTAGTTGAATTTCATCCCCATTCAAGGGATTTAACTCTTGCACAGAACATTCCCCAGATTCCACAACAGGATCAGGAACCTGTAAATCATTCAGAATGTCAAATTTATTACCAGTTTCTACCAAATACACCATAGTTTTCTGCTTATATTCCTTCTTCTTTTTAGCGTTTTTAACATCAGTCATAATACTCTTCCCCTTATCCCTCATCTCTTTCCCCTTTTGAACCTTCTCATGCAACTGCTCAACATTCAGAATACCAGTACTCTCACCACCTTCCTTTTTCTTCTTACGACAACTCATAACATCATGTCCTTATTTCAAACAGGACAAACAATACTTCACATCTTTTTCAAATACAATCTTCTGCCATCTACCACTCACCCCTCCCATGTCTAACCAAAATCTTTTAGTGTTTTCAGCCAACAAGTTGACCTCTACACATGCCCTCACAACCCTTGGCCTGGACAACTGCAAGGTAGCTTTGTCAATAACCAGAATACGACCAGTAGGGCGTAGGATATCTCTCAGACTCTCCTGATTAAAAAGATGAATAGGCAGCCCTGGGAGCGAAATCCACACTGGAACAATAGGAGGTTCAATTCCAGGAAGGAACTCTGGGAACCATGTAAAAAATCGAAAGAGAAAGCCTTCTATGTATGTTGCGTCCTTCAACCATGTTTTCACGTAATCTTCATATAATTCGAAACGAACTAAGATGTGCCTAGGATCCAAGATCCCAACAGTAAAATCTCCCTTAGGACTCCATCTAGTGAGAATAAACTCTCGAGTTACCCCCAGCGATGGCTTCCCGTATGCACACTTGCCAATTAAAGTTTGTTGGAACTTGGTGGACAATTCCATGATTGAAGGTGCTAGTACTTGAATAAATAGTGACAATGCAATTGCTTTTGCCTTGAAATTATATTAATTGGCCTTTCTGTTATATTTTGACCTGAACTACTTGAGCTTTAATCCTGTAATTGGCTTGTATCAATTGCACATACCGGTTTTATGATGGGTGTATGTTATCCCGCTGCATTGCTTTAAATCTTTGTGCAAGTAAATTTCGTAATTTTCTCATCCGAATAATGGAATGCTTGTACTGCATAGTTTCTGTGAGATTCTTTCTGGCAACAAGAGATATGCTTAGTCAAGGATTTTCAATGCACTATATCTGCATTTTTCCATTACAGTTTATGTCAAACAAGTGCGCTTTCCCCTAAGTTTATTATTCTCTTTGTAGGATGAAAGAAGAAAGATTGAAGAAAAAATCTGAAGGTGTTTCTGAGGTTCTGTCATGGGTTAACAGGTTCCGTAAGCTCGAAGATAGAAGGAATGCTGAAAAAGAGAGAGCCTTGCAGCTCTCAAAGATTTTTGAGGAGCAGGTTGGTTTGTATTTCAGTTGTGTTCCTTAAATTTATCTTAGATTCGTTTGATTAAGTTTATGAATGATTATTGCAGGACATTATCAATCAAGGAGAAAGTGAAGATGAGGCGGGAGGCCAGCATACTACTCGTATGTTTCCTTTTTATTCCCGTCTTTTCTGACTTTATTATACCTGTTGATTCATGGTTCAAAAAATTGGCTGATTGGTTTGGTTCCGAAATGGTTCGTGTTTCGAGTAAACCATGAGTCTCACTTGGCTTGTGGTTAACTTGGGAGACATCTCGGTCATTCTACAATCCTATGTTCAATATGTCGCAGGGCCCTCTGAATCGTGGCCAATACTGTGGACTTCAAACCGGAGACAAAGTGATTGTTAGCTCAGCCTCTTAATGTATTAACTCTGGCCTGTTTGCTTGGGGATTGGATTATGGAAGCTAGACTTGACCCTTTTTTTTTTTGTTTGTGGAAAAGATAATATTTATAAAAGTAACAAAAAGAGGACAGAAGAGGACAAGAAGTCCTCTAATTGTTACATAAAAATAGAGAAAATTAGAAGACTATAGGCAAGTAATAACAAAGACAAAGTCAATGATGGACGTATGTCAACACTCATCACACACTTGAGCTCACTAACCTTGGACAAAAAATAGTGGGATCCCTTCGAATTCCTTAGGTGTTGAAACCCAAAGAGATGTTAAAAAGGATATTCTTTCTCACGCATTTTCCCAAGTGGCCTCTTTTTTGTCAAAAATTTCCCATTTTTTTCAAACCATATTGCCCAAAACAATGTCAGCATCGCACATCTCTATGAAATCTTGGCTCTTTTACATGAAACAAAAGCTTTGACATCAATTACGAGAATCAAGTCACTCGTTCTTGGAACCACCCTAGGAATCCCAAAATTGTCAAAAGCTTATTCCAGAACTTGGAGATGAAAGAGCATCGTTGAAACAGGTGATCCGTACTTTCGTCATTCGTCCAAAGGATGACCATTATGGTTGAAGAGCATATGACGGTTGTCTCTTTTGAGCAGTTCATTAGTATTTAGTTTTCTATGTGCAAGCAACCATGCAAACACTTGTACGGTGCTTAGGAATTCCAATTCATGACTGAGAGATGAAAGAAGGGAAAAATAGGTTAATTAATCAAGGAATCAAAATAACTTTTGCAAGAAAACTCCCCAAAGAGGAAAGGATCCATCTTTTCTTATTCAAAAAAATATGATTCAAAACGATTTTTCCAATGACTCAACATTTAAATCTTTTTTTTTCCTTGAAAAAGAGGATCACACCTTATGATAGGAAGTTTCAATCCCTTGTCCAATGCAGCAACGGATTCCAACTTTCTTTGGAATAGGGGTCCTTCACCAAATTATACGGAAGGGCATTTGCCTGAAAACGTCTACATATATATAAACTTACTTCCTCTCTACCCTTTTCTTCAATGTGGTATTCAAATTGACGGTCGACACATGTATTTTACCCAAGAATCAAAATATCGTTTCAAAACGGTCGAAACATCCGAAACGTTTCTGTTTCTAAGGAAACCGAAATGATACAGTGATAGAATCGAAATTTTGATATTTCGAGCTATTCCATAATGTTTTTAAATGTATTATAATATTGCAATGCATTTACACAATTGTTTTGGAGTGTTTCAAATTATTTCAAAATATTTTGATATATTTTCAAAAATGTTTTAGAAAAATAATTGTTAAATTTTTTATTTTTTTCATTATGTTTCCGAAACACGTCGAAACGTTTCTGCTTCCTAGGTGACCGAAACAATACATCGAAACGATATTTTGATCCTTGATTTTACCTCTAGGTCCAGTGTCACTTTTGAATATTTTACATCACCGACTTTATCAACATATGCCGTGCATCTAAACGCTTTATGGTTGAATATTTTTGTTCCTATCATCCAATATTTTATCGAACATTCCAACAACTTCCTCCAAACACTTCATACATGCCACTACGACTTTATGGTTGCCTGCTAAATGATTTTCTTTCTCGAAATGCTTCTCCAATAAGCATTTCAGCAACAAATACATTTTAATTTCAACCTATGACTTGTTCCTTTTGTCAATTATTCACATTGAGCCATGTGAAATCACCAACTTGGTTAGGCGATTTCATTGCATAATGTAATTGAATGAAAGAACCAACCATAGCCTTTGCTTTAGAGGACGAGAGTTGGGGCTTCATCTTCATGACAAAGATCCAGATAGAGCTAGGGTTTCGTCTTTGTCTGTGTGACAAAGATTGGAAAAAGTGTTTGGTCTTCGTCTACAATATGCGCTATAGAAATCGAAAGAGAGCTTGGGTTTCAACTTCATCTCTGAACCAGAGGTGAAGGGTTTCAGAGTCGTGGCAAATAGTAGTAGAAATTTATTCAGAGCAATGTTTTGATTATCTTCTTTTGCATTCGAAACATAGATAAAAACCTAAGGGAACACAACGATGTTTTAATTATCAAAACAAAAACAAGGAGTTGCAGTGTAACTCACAAATTGTTCAATTTGACATAGCAAATCTTACTCAATTTCCTTATGCATAGAGACTTATCATCCATGCATACCAAGGGCGATACAAACAACCAGAATCCCAAATATGATATCAAGCTATTTTGTGAAAGTTTTTTTCTAATATGCCTCTTCAATCTCCTCTGTCATATGGCACTCAAACTAGTTCTTAGTGTTTTACTACGGCTATTATGTAGTGAAACTAGTTGTGCACTATCCTTTGCTGACCGAATGACTATCCAACTTTTTCAAAGGCCAAATTGGTGAATGTAGAGGTCACCAGACTGTCTATGTTACATGGAACATTAGGATGCCATATTGTAGAATTCATGTCGGAAATGTATATTACCTTGAGTTTATCATTATTCTCAGTGGCTTGTTCCTGCTTTCTCTGTCTCACTAGTATGGCGTTCTAGAGTGCAATATTAGTGAGACAAAGTATTGACTTTTGACCTTCATCTCGGTCATGCACGTTGTTTTGCATATGTATAAATATATAGACACACACATAAACACATATATCCTTTGTAGTTTGTAAGGTGATTGCCACATGCAATTCACAAATAGAATGCTTTGATACCATATTTAGTGAATCTTAAATCATATAATCAAATTTTGACCTTTGCCTTGAACATTTTGACAGAAGATCTGGCGGGGGTTAAAGTCCTTCATGGGCTTGACAAAGTGATTGAAGGTGGTGCAGTTGTTTTAACACTAAAAGATCAGAGTATACTTGCAGATGGTGACATTAATGAAGGTAAACTATGCCTTTTCTTGATTTTCTTCTGCTACTATTTTATTTTTATATTATTTTTCTCTCTTTATCCTTTGGCATATTTGCTGGACCCAGATTTCCTAAGGTGACGTTACGTTGTATATACCAGAGGTTGATGTGCTTGAAAATGTGGAAATTGGGGAACAAAAGCGGCGGGATGAGGCTTATAACGCTGCAAAGAAAAAAAAGGGGATTTACGATGACAAGTAAGAACAAATTATGGTCAATGCAATATCCCATAAATGCAATTCAGAAAATTAACTGCCCTTCTTGTTTATTTTGCCATTGTAGGTTCAATGACGAGCCTGGTTCTGAAAAGAAAATACTTCCTCAATACGACGATCCAGTCGCAGATGAGGTCAAGCTCTTTTCTTGGAGTTTGTAGAATTTTTGTCTCTGGATAGTGTGGTATATATTGTGCTTAACTAGATCTATATTTTTAGGGAGTAACTTTGGATTCAAGTGGACGTTTCTCCGGTGAAGCAGAAAAGAAACTGGAGGAGGTAAGTGTTCTTGTCGAAGTATTTCAGTAGTTGCATTGAGGAATTGTACCAACGACTTTATTTATAATCCTAAATTTGCATGTTCACCATTGCCAGCTGCGAAGAAGGTTACAGGGAGTTTCTACAGACAGTCATGTTCAAGATCTCAATTCAATTGGAAAAATCTCATCGGATTACTTTACTCAGGAGGAAATGCTGCAGTTTAAAAAGCCCAAGAAAAAGAAATCCTTGAGGAAAAAAGAGAAGCTGGATATTGATGCTCTTGAAGCAGATGCTGTCTATGCTGGATTGGGTGTTGGTGATCTCGGTTCTCGAAAAGATGCGAAGAGGCAGGCTCTTAGAGAGGAACAGGAGAGATCTGAGGCTGAGATGAGAAGCAATGCATACCAATCAGCATTAGCTAAAGCAGATGAGGCATCTAAAGCACTCCGGCTGGGGCAAGTTATTACTAACCAAACTGAGGAAGATGATGCACCAGTTTTTGGCGATGATGATGAGGATCTCCGTAGATCACTAGAAAGGGCAAGAAAATTATCTCTGAAAAAGCAAGAGGAGGCAGTGGCATCTGGTCCTCAGGCAATTGCTCTCCTTGCTTCTTCCATTGCCATCAGATCACCTTCTGATAACCAAAACTCCATCTCTGGAGATGCGCAAGAAAACAAGGTTGTGTTTACTGAGATGGAAGAGTTTGTCTGGGGTCTTCAGCTTGATGATGGTATGCTATTTTTGGTTCCTTTTTTATGCAAGCAAAATTTGATTAGCAATACCTAGAATGTTCTATTTATTGTTGTTACAATCATGATTGGACCATATTAATTGTGGTGACCAAATATTTGAGTGCCTCAACTGTGATATGCCCATGTGGCATTTAACGGACACTGGTGTGTTGTGGAGTACATCTCACTTCAACTGCCTGCGAGTCCAAAAGTTTGTAGGAGTATTTGTAGCTTTTTGATTTAAGTTTTAGGCATATTCATGTTTTGTAAGCACTACAATTAAGAGTTTGTTCAGAAGTAGTCTTGGAATGATACTCTTAAGTCTTAATAATCCTTTTTCATCTCTTATATTGGGATGTATAGTAGATTGCCACATGTATTTTATGGTGTATTCTGCTTAATTGCCACTGTCACCTTGAATTTTGAGTCCAATATCTGCACATTTTTAATGTTCTGCTAGATGATTCAATTTGTTTTTAGTTCTATGTATTATTTATTTATTTATTTTTTTGATGGTGCACATCCTTACATATCTTGAATGAACAATATTCATTCTTGCTATTGCTTTTCAGAGTCACATAAGCCTGATGGTGAAGATGTTTTCATGGAGGAAGATGTGGCACCAAAAGTCTCTGATCCAGAAGAAAAAGATGAGGATGGTGGTTGGACAGAGATAAATGATACTGGCAAAGATGAAATCCCTGCTAATGAGGATGAAGAAGAGATAGTACTCGATGACACAATTCACGAAGTTGCTGTCGGGAAGGGATTATCTGGTGCACTTAAGCTGCTAAAAGAACGAGGAACACTTAAAGAAACTATTGAATGGGGTGGTCGAAACATGGACAAGAAAAAAAGCAAGCTTGTGGGCATCCATGACAATGATGGACCCAAAGAAATACGTATTGAGAGGACAGACGAGTTTGGGCGCATTGTAAGTACTCTTTTCTTGATGATGCAATCACTTTCAACTTTATCACATTCAGCAGATCCCATGTAGAAGAGTTCTTAGCTAAAACTTTTATCTTATTACATAATAATAACTTGATCAATTACATGTGTTGATCATTCTGATGAAAATGGTGATTAGTGGAGATAGTTTGTTGAACTAATGCTGATGCATTTTGAGTGTTGGTATTCTGCCTAACAGAAGCCAGTTGTAGTTATTGAAAGAATTTGGATATGACCCACTAGGTTAATTTAAGTGCTCTATGCCGAATCCAGTTTGCATGAGTGTTTACTGCCGAGCCAGTTGCTACTAGTGTTCAGATGGATATGATTGGTGATTGACTTGGGTTTTTGATGGCCAACGGCCAACATGAATGACCTCCTCTTTGAGGAAAAAAGTTAGTTCTGCTGACATTAAAAGCAAGGAATATTCTATGGTTGTCTTTAGGATAGTCATGCCTTTGAAATGCAATGAGATAATGACTTAGTGACTTCTTACTTACGTCAACTGGATTGGGGAGTTTCCTAAGTGGGTCACATCCCTGGCCCCACTTATACTCTGCGAGTTTCTATTAACATTATGCTTTCAATAGTGATGATGTTATTAAAAGAAAAAACAAAGTTAAGCATTTTTTAATATTGAGCTTTTTTTTTTGTCATTACCAGTTGACGCCAAAGGAAGCCTTTCGGCAGATTTCACATAAGTTCCATGGGAAAGGACCAGGCAAAATGAAGCAAGAAAAGCGCTTGCGCAAATACCATGAGGAACTGAAGGTTAAACAAATGAAAAATGCAGATACACCATCATCGTCTGTGGAGAGGATGAGGGAAGCTCAAGCTAAAAATAAGACACCCTATCTTGTTCTCAGCGGGCATGTTAAACCAGGGTATGTCTCTCTTTTTCAGTTCGTTGGTTTATAAAATATCTCAATGGTGAAATTCTTGTAGACTCACTACTTTTGAATAGCACCAGATGAGGAAAGTGAAATTTCGATTATCATCTTGAGCAAGCCAAGGGTTGACAGCTCATTAAGAGGATTTAGGCTTGTTACTGCTGCCCATTAGATTAGAATCCACATAATTATTCATGCAAGTATAAGAGCTCCATTCAGGAGTGATATGTGTAGCATGATGGGGATGAGTTTTGGAGGGGATCAAGTAGCTTTTCTAGGCAGATTAGAAACTACCCTACATGAAATTGTAAGATTGTGCTTCAAAGGATAAAATTCACCTTTTTTGTTGGACATGAAGGGAGAAAAACTCCTTTCCTCTTGCTAAACTGAATTAGCTGCTGGTATATTTTCTTATTTCTTTCTTTCCTGTCTTTTATTGTGGCTAGCCAAATGACGGTGCTACAAAGTTAATTGAAACTCGGGTTTTCTTTGTGGGTTTACATGGTGGATATGGTGCTTCAAATTTTTACCTTCATTTTGCAATTTTGTTGAATTTAGTGTATAACGTATGAGGAAAGGTTTTTATTGGATAATCCTGAAGAATGAGGGTATTGACCCCGGATTGTAGGTCTGGTGCCTTCCTGGGGAAGATTCTGGTCCTGCAGAGTCTCAGCTGAGTTTCCTTGGAACATCCAATGGTGGACGTTCATGTGGATTCTTGCGAACATCCACATGAATTATGTGTAGCCCTAACAATATCACAAATAGAATAATGAAGAAAATCAAGAAGTTTGATAGCTCCTACGGATTATGGGTGTATCCATTGCAGGATTTGGTTGTAGATGATGATTGTTCAATCTAGTTATTAACCGGTTTTTTGTGGTGGTTGGTAACAGTGTCATTTTGACCCGAGTTATCAGTTGAGTTACTTATTCTAGTTAATTTAATGTTTCCAGGCAAACTAGTGATCCTAAAAGTGGTTTTGCTACCGTTGAGAAGGACCTCCCTGGAGGCTTGACTCCCATGCTGGGGGATAGAAAGGTCAGTAAATTTTTATATTCCGTATATTGTTTCCTTTACCTTGTTTAGATGAATAGCTTATATTTCACTAATAGGTATATATATGTGTGTAGATGCAGTTGTGGTTTATCTTTTGGCATACCAGCTTTGTCTATGAGTATGTCAGTAAGAATACAGTTCACTTGCCTCTGATCTTTCTGAGGGAAGACCTTTGTAACCGTTTTATGTCGGCGGTCCTTGTCAAACAAACTACTTGCTTCATCTAAGAACTAGATGAACATAATGTATTGCAGTTTCATTCTACACGCGCGCGCGCGCACTTTCAGAGGGAAAGAGTCTGGTAGCATATTGGTTGCAAAATGAGGTTGCATTTGGTAACATAGCAATTTTTGTTCCTTCTGAAAATACTAGAAACATGTTTTGTGTAAAAAGAAAAGTGACAGTGTGTTTGGGTGTTCTTTTCACTGTAAAAAGAAACTGTTTGGGTATTGATTACCCTAAAAAAAGAGTATGTTTGGTAGGCTCTTATAAGTTGTGCGAAAAGAAGAAAACAAGAGAACAAAAACTTCTTTGGGAATTGCATGAATGTTTCGGACCATGTTCAACCTCCTACCTTCTGTATGGTTTAATAAAGTGAACAACTACCATGAAAGATTGAAAACTGAAGCCTACTACAGCTTAGCAGCAGCCAACAATTTTAGAATACAAGCTAGCTTAATAAAAACAATCCACGTTGGCCCTTAATTTTTGAACCAATTTTCTATGTATATTTCACAGTGTGTCTTCAGATACATTCTCAAAAATCTTTTATGCATTCGGCAAGCATGCATACCACTGATTCAGAATTGAAAACTAAATCTGTTTCTTTCACATTTAATAAAATGATTTTGGGGAACACCATACCACCAGAGATGCCATAGGGTGATTCGCCTCTTCGTTATAAGCCTATCTTGAGAAGGCGAGAAAGATCATATACCTATGGGCTATGGAATGATGTTGTATTCTCCCCTCCCCATATTTTAGTTCAGCTTTCCTTTTTGTTATGTCTGAAATTAGAGTCCGGTTGAAAAGTGAAGCATTTTTCATGCAACATTTCACATCTCAATATAGATTTTTAGTGATGTGCCATTGACAGTCCAGTTTCCTGCACATGCTCTACACATTGTTTATGATATTTCTATCCTCTGCAATGTGATGAACCATTGTATTTGTCTGACGTACTAGTTTCTTCTCAGAAGCTAGTCAAATTTTGTTCTCAGTTTCAAAATTTCAATTTGATGCCGTATGGACCAGTTTTTAATGTTTTATGTCCATCTTCCAGGTTGAGCACTTCTTGGGGATAAAGCGCAAGTCTGAGCTTGGAGACATGGGCCCACCAAAGAAGCCTAAAACTTGAAGGTGGTGGCTAATATGCATGCAAACGGTTGTTAGTTTGATTTCTTTTTTCCTTTGGCCTTCTCTTTTGAGTGGGTTAGCGCCTCAGGTGTTTTAACTTCGAATTTTCTTCTGATATTGTGAAGAATGTGTATAAAATGCAATTGTAATAGGAAAGAGCAATTGCCAGTTTTACTTGGATGGAATGAGCTCAGATTTTAACAAATTCATAGATAGCTGTGGATTCTGGTCTTGCAGTATTCTAAAGTTGATTAGCCATTATAACATGTCCTGTGCATGCCCTCTTATTTGCACATTATATACGGTTCAAAATTGGATATTTGTTAATGTTCAGAGCCAAGTAGGATGAACTGGGTTGCTGTGTTTGTTTTCTTGATTGAAAAGTACTGTATAGCATGGAATTAGCATCAGTCAACAACCATGGTCATTTGTCTGGCGAAGCAATGTAACATGCTCTGTGTGTGTGTGTGTGTGTGTGTGTTTGTGTGCGAGTTCTGGGAGATGTTGGAGGTGGCATGTTATTACTAGAGGTTGGGTTGATGTGTACTTGATGATGGCATTAGAAAGAATCTGTGGGATCAAGTCAGTCAGTGAATTTTTTAGGCTGCAGAATAAACCAATTTAAAAATGGTATAACATGCTTATTTAGAAACAGAATCTGTAAACAAAAACATGAGAGAAGTTGTGTAATTTTTGTAGAAATACTTGGGAAGTGACTTCCAGCCTTCTTTAGCATCTTCCTTTCTTTGTCTGTATCATGTTCTTGTTTTCCTTTCAGTGTTTTTCCTCTTTTCTAATCCCGCTTTCAATATTTCTCTTTTTTCTGAGTTTGGCTCTCTCTCTCTCTCTCTCTCTCTCCCCATGCCTCTTAAGATGAATTTTTTAAACTTTTTGTGAAAATTATTTTCCCTTAATTCATTTTGGACAGAACATATCTACTAATTTTTTGATTCCAGTGAGAACGATATTGAACTAAGAAATAGACCATAAAAGATAAAAAAATAAAGTCTACTGCCCAATGACATTAATCGGGTTCATTGATATTTCTAATCGGGTTCCTTGATATTAAGAGATGTATTTTTTGGAGAGATGAACTCCAAAGTTATACATCACATTAGCAAGTGCTATTTTCCTAAATACAAAAACAACTTGTTCAACCCATTAGGGATATAATCCAGTCTATGCTTGATTGTGTCGTGGCAATATGCAAATACACAAAGAAAAATTCGTGCCAAACCATATACTTTCACACAGAAAAATTGATGGTATATATCATACAATGATGAATTGTGTAAACATGACCAAGAATTTTGGCATAGTGAAGTGCATTTACTATTATCCCTCTCCAATGTCTTCAATCTTATTCATACACACTTTAATACAACAAAAAGAATATGGCCGGAAGAGTCTAAATGCTATCAAAATAAAATCACATGGTACGAATGTGCGCACAAATGGACAGTCAACAAACAATATATACTCATCTATTCAGGTCACACGTGCACAATCGCCTGCATTGCATATCAAAACTGCTTTTTCTGCGTTGATATGGCTTGCAAAGTCAGGTTGGAGGTTACGATACTCATTCTTCACAAATGATGCAGCTTCCATTGCATAATCTGCGTCTACTAACGCAAGACAGCACCCTCGAAAACCTGCACCACTGAACCGTGCTCCATATACACCAGGAGCCTTCAGAAGGATCTCATACAGTTGTATGAGTGGTTCACAACCTGAAAAGTTCAAATATATTACACAAGGACATGTACATTTTTTCCTTTTTTTTTTTTCACTCAGTGCCAAAGAGGTGCAACCCAAGTACAATCAAAGTATTTGAGGATTGTGATGTGTAAAATAAAATTTTAAAAAGATTTCCTGCAACGATTTCAATTTTGACAATCACCAAAAAAGATTACCAGTTTGACAACAATTCTAAATCCTGTTTAAGATTAGAAGAAAATGTCCACATTTCAAAGCATTCCCATAACAACTTCTTACTTCGAAACTTTTCTATCCTAGAATTGTGCCTGCAGTCACTGGTGGAAAAAATGAACTAGATAGATGTATTCAAGACAATATACTTGATTATCCACATCAAGCACAAATCTGCACAGACCATTGGCTTTGCGTAATTAAAGGCTGATGCTTTTCTTTTGGAACAAAAAGCACTGCCAATCTAATGAAATCAGGTCTTCTTTGGGCCACAAGCCAGGAGAAGAATGAAAATTTAACACAATTATAGTGTCATATTGAGAATGGCCAACTTTACTTGATCCACATAGAAATAAGCATCGAAGGAACACTTCATCTAGATACTATCGATGCATAGCCATGAAGCCCCAAAAGAAATAAAATGCGTAGTGTTACACTTTCATCACATCATTATTACGTATGGGAATTCTCGTTAAAAATTGTGAATCATTTTCCTACAAAAACAATTATTATGTTTTCACAAAAAACCTTGGTGACCCCATCTTCTTTTAAGGGAAAGGAGCCAGATATCTCTCTAAATGGTAACCCTTCCAGAAATCCTGAAGTCAAGAAAACTGAAAGACACTAGGTCCAACTGAACACCCAGTTTTTTTGCTCCTCTAACTTAAGAGGAAAAAAATAAAAAAGAAGACTCAATAAATTTTGAAATTTTTAAAGAGAAATAAAATGTAAAAAACGATTATTTGAATTTTTTGTTCATTTTTGAATAAAATTTTAACACTTTTTATAAATAAATGTATAAAAAAATGTCAACATATAGAAGATCTGAGTCATACCACATTCATAGTTTTTGATAGAACTTAGGCCAGAGGCCGAGATAAGCTTTCCAAAATCTTCCAAATTGCCAGAAGCCCATGCCTCAAGCCCTAAAATCATACCAAATAATTGGTTCCACATACAATATAAATCACATAAACAAAGAAAAGTAACACAAGGAATGCCCACTAAATGAATTTTTAGAGGACATCAAGAAAGAGACATGCCTTTCATAACCCGCATATTCTCTGAGAAATAATGTTCAGCTCTTTTAGCTAGATTGGAATCCAACTTGCTCTGCACAAACATCCAACAGGCAAATTTTACATAATCAACTAGAAAATGACGCGTGACTAAATCAAAACTAAGTCCTCACAAGAGATCCTGCTCTTAAGCACATTAACATATATATATATATCTTCACAATCTTAATACAGTATGATGACTCAAGAACAACTACAACAGAGAAGTGGAGAATTATAAACCCAAGAATCCAAAGACTGTCACAGGCATGCTCATGCATGAACTACAGGACTCAGTGAGACAATAAAGCTAGGTTAATCAATTGCCAAGCCTTGCTTTTTACCAAAATTTGTATAAGCCCATTGAAGTCCGTATTAAAATACCTAAGAACATAACTTACTGCGCCCCTCAACTTAACTCAACTAAGCCTAATCCTGACTATTTAGGTTGAGCTACATGCATCATGGTCTTGCGTTATACTAAGGATTGTATTTTTGTTAAACTGGAAACTATGTATTTTTTTAACTGTAAAATACAAAAATATATTGATATACCTCAATCCCTCGTGTTACCATCAATAGATATCACATTCTTTCTCATTATTGCAATAATAGATATTCTATAAATCGGTTCAAACCACCTAAATTGGCTCTTTCTTAATTTGTCTTCTATAAGTGCTATTTCTACCATAAAGTGTTGTTGGTTTCATGGATTTCTTGTAGAAGTTACCTTTCAGTTTAAGAGGTCTACACTGATCACAAAATAAATAACGAGCGAAGCATTGTAGCTCACCCTGGTGTTTCGAAAAATGGTCAAGGGATGCCGCAGTTTAAGTCATTCAGATGTGAGAGAAAATGTGCGAGGGATTCTACTCACTCTAGACAAGCAACAGTATATAAACTAGTCTAAAATACTAAACTAAGGTTAGCAACTAGGAGGGGGATTCATAATTTGCACCCTAAAAGATTTTAAAATTCTCAATTTGCATCCTCAAAAATTAATTTTCTCACATTGCACCCTCAAAATCATAAAATGATTTCAATGTGATCCACACACCAAATTTCATTGTTGTTTCTGTCAAATCGTGCTACACATAATGCCCTTGAATTTGATGGAAACAACAACGGAAGGTAGTATGAGGGTCACATTGCAACTATTTTATAACATCGAGGGTACAATAGAAGAAAATTAATCTTTAAAGGTGCAAGTCGGAATTTTCAATAATAGAAGGAATCCAGAATGCCTCTCTCAAAAATGAGCTGGGAACAAGCACAAATAAAAGTACTTAGCAAACAATCTCCATAATGTGTTTGTGATTTCACTTAGCCATATCATTCTGATCAAGGGTACCTGCACAAAAGAACTACTGAATAGTTCCATCAGATCTCAATAAATCAAGAAAATCAATATATCTGTATTTCGTACCCAAATCACTCTGAAAACCTTTGATAACTAAACAATATTGTGTGTGAATAATGGAACGAAAAAACAGAAAATATAGAAGAAACATCACGCTGAGATTCCCTTTTAGTGGCAACGAGGAGAGAACCACACACATCAAAATGCATAAGGTTGAAAGAAGCAAAATAAGTAAAAGAACTATTCTTGAAAGATAAAGTCATGAATTTGGAAAGTTTACAACCATTACAAGCAGAAATATCATGATTGCTTAAATTTCCTAGTGCACCAGTAGCAACTAATAAACGAGAAATAGAAACATGCCATATAGCATAGAATACAAAGGGTTCAAGCGAAAGAACAAAAAATCAACAAAAGAAGTAGCTACAGCTGGAACATGCAAGTTCTCAATCATATAAAACCCTCTAACACTACGGCATGTCCCAATTAACTTCTAAAATGAGGATTTTGTACAATAAAATCGGTACAGAAAAATTGAACAATGTAATCAAGATCACAAAGTTGACTAATGGAAATTAAATTTAATATAGTTGATGGACACAATAAACATCCAATAGAGAGAGAATTGAAGCCATGGCGGATCCAGGGCCTTGATGCATTTTCCCAAAACCAGTTTTCCCCAAAAAATCAAATAGAACCTTAAGGCACCAAAATTGCACCAACTGGGCAAACCAATTATGTTGTATTTGCACTTGGGATGTAATGTCTCTATCATTTGGTGCCAAGCCATGGGGCTTATACCTTTCTCACTAAACGAATTTGACGTGAGGAATGGTATGGTGTAAGAGATATAACTCAAGATCTTGACAAGATTAGCACAATCCTGATAAACAATGTAACGAAGTGGGAAGATACATGCAATTGCCAGCAAATTTTTTAACAGAATAGATCAGGATTGCTACTAGTGCTAGTGTCAAATTGTTTATCAATCTCACAATATCATGAGTAACATTTTGTACTAACTTTGAAGACTAATGGATCCTTTTTGGGTTGAAATTAAAATTTTATTTTCAAAACAAGCCACCTAACTCTACACTGGGGTTTCTAGAATACGCTTGTTTATTCATTTCAGTGATTAACATTTATGTTAAAAGTTAGGCTCTTCAGTTCTAGTACGTTGAGACATCAATGCTTCAATGTTTTTTGTTTCATTTTCTTTTGAAATTCTATGCTATTCTTTTTAGAGCCTTTGAGTGTGGGAAAATGAATTCACTTCTTCAAGCTCGTCAAAAGGAGAAATTTTTGGGGAATGGTTAGATTATAATTTGTCAAAAGTCTTATCCATGTAGAGCTATTTGCAATAGGATTATAGATAGAAATAACTGCCTATTAAGGCTTGTGTCCAATGTCCACATAGCAACACATTAATAAAGAAGTGATGTGCACAATCCCAGCACCTGAAAATGTACATAAACAAGATAATATAACATGTCTGAACAGACTGTGTAGTGGATAACACACTACAGGTGAACAAGAACAACCACAAATCTCATCCCCTTTTCATTTTACCTATCCATTTGGTGAAAAAGAGAAAGGCATTCTCTTAGAAATCATTGTTATGAAGGCCTACCTTGTAAGCTTCATAAGCTTCTGGTTCAACTGTTCAAGCATTGAAAGGTAATTAGTATCATTGGACACTACAAAAATTTTAAAGTCACAAATCCAAGGTTGAATCCTAACCATTGCACAGGAGAGGCTCCACTTGTCCATTCCCAGAAGCACTGTAAGAGAACAAAACCATCAGAAAGCTTGGTGATAGCCCCTAACATTGGAAAAATAACAGACAAACTAAAAGAAAAACCAAATCACGACTAACAAAATTTGCGGCTGAATGAAAATAAAGACAACATGGATGCTGCAAACTTAGTGAATTAAAAAAGAACAAATGGAGAAAAATGAAGAAAAGAGAGTCCTAACTTTGTCAAAAAGCATTATGAGAAAAAAGAAACTAAGGAAGGAATTACTTAACCTTGTCAAAAAAGCATTCACAGAAAAAAGAAAAAAATTCACAGAGGAATATGATTAGCTTATGTATGAGAAACAAGAAGCTTCCTCTTTCTCTATTGCTACTTTTGCCCAGGTATCGCTTCAACCTGTCTAATGTCTTCCACTCTTAATCCTAGATCATAGTCTCAAGACTCTGATGCTTTCAATTGCATGACTAGTTCTCACAGAGTCCTATCTGCTTATCCTTTTGTAACTCATTCTTAGAAAATTACTCTTCCTAAGGATCAAATTTTGGTTTTGGTGATATTTCCAGTCAACTGGAAACAGAAGAGCTCTGGAAGACAAATGCAAATAAAGAGAAAATTTGGAAACGTGCAGGAACTGTCGAAACACAAATTAAAATCTCCACATTTATCTAGATGAGCTTCACAATTGATTCATTGAGCACGCTAATTTTCTAAGCATCCAACTATACTTGGAGAACAAATTTTAAGGTTAATATGAGGCAGACATGTTATGATTTTAAGGACCAACAACACAAATGGAATGCTCACGACCATCTACTTGTGAGGAACCCCCAATGTTCCCACCACCACACTCCTTTGAGACAAAATAGAAAAAGACATTTTTGGTCTAACATTGTAAAGGTTAACATTCTGAAACATGAGAATTTCAATTTTCCATCAACCGTTCGTTTCAATTTCCACCCAGAGCAAAAAGTTTTTGCCATGTCATCTGAAATGAAACAAAATTAGGATCCTTGACCATTGCTAAGGATTCCTCCTCTAAGTCTTTAGGTTTGGAGAAACCTAATTGAGTCCTTGCCTATTAGCAAGATTACTAGGTCTCTTAATTGTGTTGTAACCTTTTATCCCTCCTTTTGCATGTTACAGGATCCAGGACGAAGATGAAGATTAGTACAGCACATAAAACTAGTGGCTTTGTTTACTTTGAATATTGCATTTTCCAATATTTATAATGGTGATGGTATACTGATGAAGGGCATGGGGTATTGTGGTGATGGAGGGTTCTATCCGTAGTGAGGTCAGGTGGATGGGAGCTAATGCTGATAAGGAGCAAAGGATAAAAAAAATGATGGGGGCTACTTTTAGAAAGAGGAAGTTACATGAGAGAGAGAAAGAGAGACTGGGAGGGGGGGATTATACAGAGTACAAAGATATAGGTATTAAGCTCATTATTGTATCAAAAATCATTAAGGACAGTTTTCTCGTAAAAATTGTGGAAAGGGCATCTGACAGCCACACACACACACACACAAAACAAAAGTCACAAGTCATGTATACTTCCCCAAAAGTGAAATCCTAAATCTAGTTGTTATCTTTCCTTTCTTTCAAATTCTACAAAAGAAGTTTAGGAAGTTTTATCCTTTGCAGTACATATTTTGTTTCAAACAACCGATGTAATGTTTCATCAGTTTGATGATCCTATGTAATTCGTCATTCTTTCAAAAACATTTAAAACCAATTGGCATTTGGCAATGGATGGATATGCCCCTCAACCATGCAATCAACCTTGGGTAACCCCAATTTTTCGATGTGGGATACAAGCTCCGTTATATCCACCCTTACATGCGACCCAGTCTCACAAGTAGAAATTTAAATGGGTAAGATACTTGGTACATTGACCACCTAAGGAGCAGCTCTGATATCATGTTAGGCATCCAACTCAAAATAAATTGGCAATGGGTGGTGAGGCCCATCAACAATATAACTATCCCCGGGTGGTCCTAATTTTTCGATGTGAGATTCCTACTTTTGAACCTCTTATCTTTCAGTTTCAATTCATATTATTCTCATATTGCACTTTTTTCTTGGGCAAAGTTAAGAACAAAGAAGAATGGTAGTGAAGATGGAGTAAAACTCTAAGGAAGACTAATACTGAAGTGTGCAGTACAGCATCTTTTAAGGAACAGACAAATTGTTTGGATCTTTCTTGCACTATCTCCTCTCATCTGCCACTTCGTTAAGACTTAGTTTACACCTGATAGCATATGTTTTGACTTTTAACTAAAGGATGCACATGAAGAGTGGCAAAGAAAGTCAGTCAACTGTGTGATTAGTTTTCATGATAAGGACGAAGGATCTTACTGCAACAAATTTTTTGCAGCCTCTCGACATTCTGCAACGCGGTGATTATATCCAGGGTTAGTTGTCAAAGCCTGCTTCAAGCCTGAAAATGCTAGTAGTATTTTGTAAGCATCCTTTTTCCCAGATTTCTGGTTTTTGTGCAACCCTGGTGGTTTTATAAGCTTGTGTTCTTTGGTCTGCACATGTTAAACTAGACTGATGAAGCAGAAATTCCCAGTAAACCAAAAACTACTACCATCATAAATATTGCCGGTAAACAATAATGCACAGGATGGAAAAACATAACACACATTAAATACTTGAATTGATGATATTTACCAAACCAGAAGCAGTCCAATTGGTTTTAAATTGATGGGTTGAGAACAAACCCCAACTAAACATGAGAGCAGCAAAGAGGAACACTAAACTTAACAAAGAAATGTTGCATTTCCAAGTTGCAGTTCCAAAAGCATCAACTAAAACATTCAATAAACAGGAATATATTTGTTGCAAAGCTTCATGCAGTTATTGAATAAAAAAACAGAAACAGGTGATGTGGAATTGCTTGATAATCAATCACATGATGGCATGTGTTTAGTTCTAATTTGGATGGATCTATTCAAATTCTGTTATACTCCGAATAATTTGTAAGAAATATGCAGCACATATAATAAGTCCCTTTTTCCCCCCTTTTTTTTGAATTACTCGAAAGTAATACCTGGATACCATAAACAATCAAGCATCATGATATTCTAAGCATCCTTGTCTAAGAAAGGCTATATACCCACAAGAGAATATATGTTATCAATGGTCACGAAGACAAATGAAGCTACAGAATCCCTTTAACATACATTAGCCATGATGGGTCTCATAAAAAATTGCAGAGTCTTATCTCGCATAGTGACAGAAAAATATGCCATAGATGATACTTGGAAAACATATGTATGTAAACATGGAAAAATAGCATGATGATTGATTAATGAAGAATTGATAGGACAAGAACAAAATTTATGATGGTATATTACAATTCACATTACGAAAAAGAAACCAAGCCCAAGATGCATAAAGAAAGACACTTCTGTTTCTCAGAAACTATAGCTCGTGTTACAAAAGGATAGTCAAATAATTGCAGCTAAATTATATTACCTTGCAGTTCATACAAGTCAGACAACCATAGCTTGAAAGCAATATAGCAGACTGATCTAATATGCCATTTCTGAGGCCTAAATATCCATTTTCAATCAACCTAAATATGCAGAGATGTAAGATTTAGAAAAGTCTACAATTCTAGAAACAAGTAATAAAAGCTACTGACCACATGAAGCACTGGGACTTGTAAGACCAGCTAATGACCAAAAAAAAGTAGCAGCAAAGGAAATGAAGAGAAACTACAAAAACTGAGATAGAAACTAATCAACTGGAATGGTAAGAACCCAAGTAAAAAGGATTAAAGAGATGATGAGCTTGCATCGGGACCTAAAAGAAGTAGAAATTTTCAATTTTGAAGATTCATCAATATGTTTAAGATGACAGAGACAGCAGGAAACCCACAATGTCATTAGACCAAACGAGTTTAGAAGGGTTAAAACTTAAAATTGTCACAAACACCACCAGATATAAAAATATAAATTAGCAGAGTCTAATCCTACAAAGTTTCATATTCTAAAAGTAGAAGTGCAAAGAAAGCAAGAGCATGTGGAGAAATTATCTTTGCAAATTGGTTGATACAGAATTTTCACTTTTTTGCGCAGAACCATAGAATATAACTTGCTACAGAGATTCTCGTTGATCAAACAGTTTAGGCTTTGTTCGTCTGCCCAAATGTTCAGGAACATAAACATTTTTACATGAATTTCAGAACATCTTTGTGCATTCAAAAATCATGAAAATGCATTTTCTCAACAAGGAAGAACAAACGGAATGCTTTGTCCAAGAATTTTCCCCAAAATCGACAAGAAAATGGCAAAAACTAAGTTGTAAAGAGTGAGTGTGTCTTATATCAGATAATAAGGACCACAAAAGATTGGTTTATATGCTTGAGGAGGCTCTCCACTCATTGCCACTTGGTTTTTAAGTTGGATGTTCTAACATGGTATCAGAGATTTGAATTTTCCGCCCCACATGCGAGTCTGGGTGCCACATGAGGGAAAGTAGAAAGAGAGATTGTATCCCACATTGGATGATTAGGACCACCCAAAGTTGGCTTATATACTTGAGGGGTTTCTCCACTTATTGTCAATTGGTTTTGAGTTGGATTTTCTAACATCAATAACCTACTTATTGTACCTACTGATAGTCAACATCCTAGACACCTCATATACTTATAATTAAAGATAATAGAATTGTAAAACTTAAAATAGAAACACTAAAGTAATTAATAGGACAGATTTTGGGCCAAAGAGATACATCTTACGGACATTTTATATCCCTATTGAACAAAGTTGTAACATATACGACTAGGTTTTCAGCTAGGTTTCTGATTTTCACATTCCAATTAGAACTCCTTGGTAATCAGAATCTATCAGATAGTTGATATGCATGCATTTAAATTTACCAACCCAGTTCAACCTGCTTCATTCAGAACTCTGTAAGAACCAAAGAATTACCTCAAAAATCCTTGTAGGAAATTTTTATTGCATTTCTCCAGTAACACACCATGTGTTTAACATTAGAGTGGACCCATTACATCACAACAACGACTATGGAAAAAAACAGAGCTTGCATGCCATTGAGCATGAACAAGGTGACTAGTACCTACTAGGAATCAACCTAGCCCAACCAAAAAAGACGAATTCCAAACCCCATCAGCCTAGAAAGGCCTCCCTACAAAAGTGGCTATAGTTAAATCCTTAACAGCATCCCTTTGGAAATTGGAAAATAAGAATTCTCAATGACTTGAAATATTTAGAAGAGAGAAAAAGGGGATACAAACTAAGTGTAGAGCCCCGTATATATAGTCAATGAAAGTTACAATAAGGACAAAAAGGTAAAAATGAAAACTTAATAAAACCCTAATAAACTAGGCTGCTGCTATATCTCCAACACTCTCCCTCAAACTTGGAGCAAAAATGTCAACTAAGTCAAGCTTGACAACGGAGTCCTGAAGAATAGATAGAGTGACAGGTTTGGTAAAAATATCCGCAACCTGACCACTGGTCCCCACAAATGATGGAGTGACAATACCACTGCTAACCTTCTCCCGAAGAAAGTGAACATCGATTTCTATATGCTTTGTCCTCTCATGTAGTACAGAGTCAGAAGCGAGCTGAATAGTAGATCGATTATCAAAATATAATGTGGATGGAGAAGTCACTGAAAATCCCAGCTCACTAAGAATCAATCGTAACCAGATAATCTCACACGTACCAAGTGTCAGTGCCCGATACTCTGCCTCTGCTGACGAGCAGGAGATAACTACCTGCTTCTTGCTCTTTCAAGAAATAAGATGAGTCCCTCGAAAAGCACAGAAGTCCGTAATAGATCGACCGTCACATACTCCCCCATAATCTGAATCTGAATAACAGGCTAGAAAACTGGTCTGAGATCCTGATGTATAGAACAACCCAAGTCCAGGACAAGACTTAAGGTACCGAAGAATATGATAAACTACATCAAGATGAGGCTGACACGGCTTGTGCATGAACTGACTAACTTGGCTGACTGCGAATGAAATGTCCGGCCTAGTGTTGGCTAAGTAGATAAGTCTACCTACCAACCTCTGATAAATTGTCGGATCTCTCAACTCCTCACCTTCAGTAGTAAGCTTCAGGTTTGGAATCATGGGTGATGATGTTAGTTTGTACCCCATCATCTTAGTGTCTGAAAGAAGATCTAAAACATACTTTCTCTGAGAAAGAACAACACCCCTGCTACTATGGGCAATCTCAATCCCAAGAAAGTATCGCAGAAATCCAAGGTCCTTCACATCGAAGACCTTCCCAAGGTCTACCTTGACCTGCGCAGTCTCAGAAACATCATCACCAGTAATAATAATATCATCAACATATACCAGAAGGATGACACACTGTCCAGAAGTATTCCGTCGAATAAAGCAGGTATGATCAGAATGACATCTGGTGAACCCTAATCGTGCGACTACATCACTAAAGCGAGAGAACCAGGCTCGTGGCAACTTTTTCAGTCCATAAAGAGACTTATGCAGTTGACATACCTTTCCAATATACTCCCCCTCACCACGAAAGCCCGATGATGCATCCGTATAAATAATCTCGTCCAGATCACCGTGAAGAAACGCATTCTTCACATCTAACTGATGAAGAGGCCAAGAGTACTCCACAGCCAGAGAAATAATCAACCGAACAGTAGTCAATTTTGCCACGAGGGCAAATGTAGCACCAAAATCACGACTTGGTACCTGAGTAAAGCCTTTCGCCAGAAGCCTAGCCTTGTGACGATCAATAGTAGCATCCGCAAGAAACTTCAGGGTGTAAACCCAGCGACAGCCAACAGGCTTCACCCCTGAAGGTAAGGAGACAAGATTCTATGTATGATTACACTGAAGAGCATCCATCTCCGTCTGCATGGCAAGAACCCACTGGGGCTCCTGCATAGCCTCTGAAACAGAGCGAGGAATCGACGTATCTGATAAGGTCATGCTATAAGCTCAAAATGTAGGAGATAAATCACTATAAGAAACATAAGCAGAGATCGGATATAAAATCCTAGTGGTCCAACTATAACGATCAACTAAACGACGATCACGCCGCGGATAATGACGTCCTAAATCATCATCCTCCACTGACAATGTTTCATCAGGTAAATTAGCTGGCTCAGTACCTGCAATCTCGTCAGTACTAACAATAGGTGCATCAATCTGCTCAACGAACTGAGAAGTATTACCTGCATCGCCTGAGGTAGAGGGGACATCAGTAGGGGGATGAGAGCGAGGACGACGAACATAAACCTATAAAGGAAGAGAGACTGGTGATTCTGTACGAACAGGGATGAGTGGCTCTGGAGGAGAAGAGACTAATGACTCTGTAGTGATAGTGACCAATGGTTCTGGCTCCTGTGGTAATGAAAAATTGAAAGGAGCATCAACTAGAAGGGAAGACACTGGACTGGAAGAAAAGTAAGGAATATGCTCAAGAAATATAACATCTAGACTATGATACATATGATGCCTGATGGGATCATAATACCGATACCAAGGATCAAAATGTCGTGTCGACACGTCCGAAACGTTTCGGAATTTCAACACTCCGAAACGAAACAGTAGTTAAATCACAAAATTCCAGTGTTTCGGTCGAAACGGTACTGTTTCGGACCGTTTCGGTCGAAACGGCATTGTTTCGAACCGTTTCGACAAAACAGTGATATATTCGGTTCATTATGAATAATTACATTTAATACCCCATTATAATTACATTTAATACCCACTGTAATTACATTTAATACTCACTATAATTATATTTAATATCCCACTATAATTACATTTAATTCCCACTGCTCTTCTGTCTTTTATAATTTTTTTGTTATAAGAATAAATAATTACACTTAATACCCTACTATAGTTTATTTAATACCCATTATAATTATATTTAATACATACTGTAATTATATTTAATACCTCACTGCTGTGCAAGTTTTTTGCTTTTTTTTTGTTATAAGTATTAACAATTACATTTAATACCCTAATGTAATTATATTTAATACCTACTGTAATTACATTTAATACCCACTGCAATTACATTTAATTTTTAAGTATACATAAGTATCATTAATTTAATTTGATACCCTTCATTATTAGTATTATAATAAAATAGTATTATTAATTGGATTATATTACCGTAATAATATGATTTGGAGTAACTATTGTCATCATATTTATGTCACATATGGAGTTTCTCTAAGTAGCTACCCAGAGCCTACACCGATGTATGAGCCTGCTCGACACTCCACAGGGAAATGGATGTAATCATGTAAATATGTACTCATTAGCATTTCATGTGTATTATAAGACGTTAATATTATGTAAAAATGTGTATATTTCATAAAAATTAAGTGTTTGAAACTAATTTAAGTGACTTTCGCCTCAAGTCAAGCCTTTTTTTCCCTCAAATTTAAATTTATTCTTGTATAAATTGATGTTAACCTAATAAATATGTTGAATTAATAAATTATTTAGCATATCTTTATAAATTAATGGATTGCATTTGTGTTTCTATGCGTTTCCATATTTTTTCTGCGTTTCCATTGCGTTTCCGAAATGTTTCCGAAACGTTTCTATTTTTGAGTTGACCGAAACGGTACTTCGAAACGAAATTTTGATCCTTGACCGATACCCCTTAGACTGATGA